GGCCCCTGGCCCCTCGGACCCAGCCAGCCCAGCTCCCCCAGCAGCGGCCACCCACCGGGGCCCCCACGTGGCCGGTCCCACACAGGGAGCTGTCACACAAGGTACTTTTTTGGGTTTTTTTCCCTTTCTCCCCTGACTTTTATCTTTTTCCATGAGAGCCCCTCGCTCTGCCCGCCAAGGGCTGTGGTACCAGCGGGCTGATGCTCAGGAAGGCGTTGGGCTGCATCGCTCCGTTGCCGCTGCTGCAGTGCGCCGCTGGCTCCCAGGCACTGCAGAATCGGGAAAATTAAAAAAAAAAAAAAAAAAGTAAGAAAATTGACATTTAGAAAGCCCAGGAGGTGCAGGTAATGCAGCAAGCTCCCTTGCCTGACTGGAACAACCTGGCCCAGATTTAGAAGTTTGCACCAGCCGAATGCTGGAGTTTTCCTTCCCCCCAGCAGCGCTCCTCACCCCGCGTCCCGCTGGGCGCTGCCAGGGAAGGCTCTCGCACAAACCCAGCAGCCTGCACCCCGTTACAAGGCCAGGCGCGGGAGCAGCCAGCCTCTCCTCATTGCAAACCCGTGGCAAATGCCGTGCTGCTGCCAGCGAAAGGCGAGCGGCAGCGCCGGCACCATTCCTGGCACCGGCACCCAGCTCTGCCAAGCACTGCACAAAGCCACGGAGCCTCTCCCGGCCAGAGCTTGATGCACCGAGGTTTTCGGGTACAAACGCCACTTTTAGTTAAGACCTAAACCTAGCCTAGCGCTGCCAGGATCCTTGCAGCACGTTCCGTTAAACCTGATCTATGGAGTTTGCTCAAACCTGCCTGAAACTCCTCCCGGCTGGTTCAGCTGGATCCTGGAGGTGGAAAAGGCAGGGAGAGGGGGTGCAGCCTTGGGGGGGCTCTGCTCCATGGGATTAAGTCACTGTACGACACGTGCCTGGAGACCCCCGGTCTCTCCCCTTGTCCAACCCCTTCTCTGGGCCACCCTAAAGCCCCGTTGGCTCGTTTTGCTACTGCTGGTATAATAATTTCTCAGGGATTCAGGGTGCTCTGTGGTTGGCAGGTTGAGACTGGGCACTGGAGCTCAAGGAAAGCACAGGCATTATCTTACAAAGGAAATTTATTTCATTTTATGAAGTTTTATATTACATGCATTGACCGAAGCTAGTACAACAGTTAACAGCAGGCCTGGGGTTTGTCCAGACTTCCATTAGTGTTTCTGGAATAAACCAGGCCAAATGAAAGAATCTTTTGCCCTTAGAAAATACAGTCATCATACAAGGAATGGTTTTTTTTTTTTTGTTTTCACTTTAATTGTTCCTCCCTTACTCCCTGCCTTTGAGCTGCATATAGGCAACGCTCCGGCTTACCAAAAAAGGTGGCAGGGGAGGAAAATCTAACACACACACACACACACTCCCCCCCATACACCCCTACTGAACCATTGAGATGGGAGGACCGAGTCTAGCTCTACTCAGAGGAAAAAAAAAAAAAAAAAATACAAACAGAATACCAGGAATAAAGCTCTAACAACAAACCAGATGCAGTACCCTTTAAAAATTTTACTAGATAAAAATGTTTTACACGTTGTTCGATGAGATGCTACAAATTCCTTCTGATCGGTTCTCTTTCAGTTTTGTGGGTTTGGACAAGCAGCTGAATACACTGAGATATTGATTTCTAAAAATAAAAATATTGCATTCTTGTCAGTGTCTGTTGGATATACCCTCATACCCACCAGAGGAAGGTGTATAGTGCACCGGAGATCGCAGCCTACTATAGGCTTAATATCAAGTACAGAGACACAGAAGCAGATGTATTCATCAGACCAGGTTGGTACGGCAAACGTCGAGCTGGAACGCGCTCGTTTCCACGCAGGGAGGACTTGCTACAACGTCCCCCTTCAGTCCCCTGTCACTTGCGTGGCTTGGCCGTCTGAGGTTTGGTTGGTGGACTGAATGAACATGGGCTGGGTGATGTCCTGGCCTGCAGGCATGGTCACTTGCTGGATCTGATAAAGTTGCTGGCAGAGACAGAAGCAGGGGAAAGAAACGACTGTCAGTTCTCCCGCTCAGCACCAGCTCCCAGCTCCCTCCAAGCACAATGCTCTACATTAACCCTACAGGTTTAGCGCTGGTGGTAGCAGCAGCAACTCATGGGTCCAAATAAAACCCGTCCCAAAAACCAGACTGCAAATTGCCGCTAGACATTCGTTGCTAAACCATAACAGAGTAATGCTGTGAATTCCAGACGCCCAAGTCAGGCTCAGGCTACCTGTGCAACGGTCAATAGTTAGATACTATGACCTTTAATCCTAAACTGGTTAGGACTAAAATGGATCCCACCCAGAGTGCAAGGGACTGGACTGATTTAGAGCGAGCACAGCAGAACACGAAGAATCCACCCGAATTAAAAGCAGCACAACATCCACTTAACCTGCTCCTGGTTACGGTTTGCTAGCAGAAGTGTTTCATCAGGAGGAGCAGATTTGCCACAACACGCAGACTTCAGGACTGTCTTTCTAGCCCTTGACTTCAGAGGGACATGGCAGCAACGAACTCCAAGTCCTTACCTGTCCGTCTGTGAACTGGCTGAACTGCTGCTGTCCTTGCTGGACTTCCGTCTGCGTTATCTGCAAGGATAAGAGAAGGACTGTCACTGACAGCGCTTTGGAGAGGGGCAGAACCCCACTAGCAATATCCTGCTGCTGCCTTTTGAGAGCTTTTAGACTCTTTCAAAACTTCCCTATCCCCACCACGTGGTAAGATACGGCTCACGCCGCCAGCCCGCTGCCATGCCGGTGCTAACCACAAGTCAAGATCACAGGACATGGGATTCAGCCGTTCCAAACCAAACACAAGCACGTCCTCCCTGACTTTCACGAGGAGAACGCGGCCTCCGGGGTCACAGAGAAGCAGCCGCCTTCCTATCCTCTGAAGGCAGAGGAGAATCCCTTAGCGACCGGTCTCGACAAGAACACGAGGCAACCTGCCGGCAGCAACGCTGGTCTTGACGTTTCACCTCTGCAATCGCTTCCCTGAGAGGTTGCGTGGCTGCTCCTCCCTCACCCAGCCAGAAGGAGCAGAAGTAAAGAGAAGATTGATGAAGTTTTACCTGCAGTCAGCTCAGAAGCAGCGTGAGCTTTGTACAGCGAGACACACACACACACTTACACATATGCATGCACCTTTCACATATAGGTAAAGGAGGCTTCCACTATGCTCCTTGCTTTATTATTTTGATGAAAGTAACAGGAAGAAAAGAAATGCAGGAATCCTAGCCCAAGAGTTGGTACATTCGACCGGAATTTGCAGTTTCAGGAGCTAGGGAACAACACTTTACCAGTTAATGTCAGCCCTGCTGTTAGAGTGCGTACCTGCTGTGCATTGGTTGCAAGCGTCTGGATCTGCCCCTGGACTACCTGGGTGCCTGACACAGGTTGGGCTAAGCGGATATACTGCAGCTGGCCAGCATTCAACTGAACCTGGAGACAAGCGGAGGGGGCAGGGAAAGAAAATTAAACAGGTAACTCCGTAACCTGAAACACAACAAACTTGCCTTCTTGTTCCCACAACAGAAGCCAGAGTGATAGATGACACCGGGAAGCTTCAGGTGGTCACCGGTTGAGATGTGTAACTATCACAGACCCTGCCAAAGCAAGAACGAAGTCCCCAGAACTCCTGCAGGTTCTTGAAGTAAAACCCCAAGGAAGCACAACGTGAATTCTTCCTCCAGAACGGGAGCAGTCAGTTAGTAGCTCAAGCACATTAATTGCTGAATTTCAGCGAGCTTTGAGAACACTTATTTTTCTTTTTGGTTATGAGAATCGAGTTACTACTTCGATGTATCATTTCACATAAAGAAAACTCTTCTGAGCTAGCTGCACATAATGACGCTCCTATTAAATCCTGCCAACAAATATAAAAGAATATATGGGAAATTTTCACATAAAGACAGCAGAGATGACAAAACCCAGGGGTATTGCAAGGTAACACTTGGAAGCTTTTAATGCAACTCTCTGCCAATATGTGTCACCCCCAGCTGGCAGAGGCCAACACTTTCTGTGTCAATACCTTGTGTAGAACATTCAAACGCAAATTTATTTCCTACAACCCTGATCTTGCAAGGTTAGGTGCTTGGGGGTGTGGGATATGAAGACAATACATCACAGGTTACGATGATGCCGACAACTGATACCTGAGAATCAGTAAAGAGGCCAGAGCGCGTTTGATACTCTGCTGAAAAATGGACGAGTGACAAATGCCGCATTTTTCATTTTGTGATATTTAACTTTAGAACACTTAATTCACAGCCTTACAGTTAATTACATACAAAACATGTTTTGAGTTGTCTTCTTTTTAAAAAGGGGAGAGAAGGACATAGAAAATACTTTAAAAACTGCTCCCTGCCAAAGGTTCAAGTGCCTAGAACATGGTCTTGGCATCTACACAGTGCCGCTGACTTCACCAGCTGTGCCTAAAAGCTCCAGTATTATTTCAAGAGCAAATAAACTCCTCATGAGCATAAACATTTCAATAAAGAATTTGTTTCTGTACCGAGATCCGCTGGCAGATCACGTTTCCCACACTGGGGGCTTCTTGCTTAGATTTTAACTCCAGGGCTAACTGAACGGGTGAAAGCGATTTAGAAAGCGCCTTCTTCCAGAAGTGAGGGTAAGCTCCAAAGGACCTGCTCAGTGAGGTTGAGCTAAGACACAGATTAAATTTAACACAAAATTTATGTGGACAAACAAGCGATTACCATTTCATTGATGTATATGCTTCCTTCCAGTTTTTCCTCAGTTGATAAAAGTCACTTTTCCACAGGCAACCCAACCTGTGGTCCTAGAGTAAGCGGTAAACCGCAGCAGAGAAGTGCACGCAGCATCAGGAGCACGTGGAAAACCAGCAGAGAACACGAGCCAAGTTGTCTCAACACTCCCACAATCGCCAGAGGCACTACCAGTTTTATGAGAGTGTTTCTAACTCATATTTGCGTTATGCATGAAAGATTCTTTGCTGAACCCTAACAGATACCAGAGTGACAAGGAACTATCAGAAGAGAGCGCTAACTGTATCAAGAGAGAAAGGAAACTCAAGGGGAGAAATGAGAAAAACGCAGGAGAAAGAGCAGAACAGACAGCAGCACTGAACAGACCAAGGACCGCAATTCTGCGAAACCAAACAGGGCTTTCCAGCTTGGGGCACTAAAAAGCTCTGGCAGCGAGTGCGTGGCTCCATGTTTTATTTTACTTCACTTGCTGGAAGCGAGCAAGGGGAAAGTTCAGCACAAACTGTGATTCTTCAACACGCTGTGATTAAGAAGAATCCTCTTAATTACAGTCAGAGCAGCATCTCTGCCAGATACAGAAGTGTGAATTGCTGCTATTTCTTTAAAACACTGCTCCCACGTTGCTCTGTCTCGCAGTCTTGCAACTGTTAGAGACCTAAGCGCTCCCAAAGACAAAAAATACTCCACTCTGGCACTTGGCAGCTTCTGTCCTACATCTGCAGCGTAAGAAGCTTCTGAGGACCAGTCACAGCGACCTGTTCTTAGATGCTCCCAAGCAAGAAGGTAGAAGCATACGCTCAGCCAAAGCCAGGTGCTAAGTAAAAAGCCTCCACAGTCTCACACTCCTAAAACATGGGACCACTTGCAACAGGATCCACCTGTGTGGAGAACCCGCAGAAGGTTCTGGTCCCCTGACAGCTACTTTATAAATAATTCTTTCTCCTTAGCAGATCTCCAAGCCTCCTTCCTGGAGGGAGTTACAGCATTTGCTGGAGACAACTGGAAAACAAGTCTGACTGTTCTTTTATTGCTGAACCAAAGGAGGATGCTGCAACATTCAGTGCTGTTGTAACAGATTCATTGAGGCTGGAGGTGGAGGGCTCCTTCAAAATGCTCTGAAAAACAAGTATCTTGGAGAGGCTTTCACAAGGAAAGGAAGGAATAAAAAGAAAAAAAAAAAAGAATGTAAAAGAAAGGTAGTGGAGAATGCAGGGAAGAAAAAAGGTTGTTTGGAGTAAAACACTGTACTGGGCAAGCAATTAACTTCCCTTCTGACCAACACCTTAAGCCAAGCAATAGGAATCAGCTGAAGACTTAAGAGATGAAAAGAATTTGGAAGTGACTTGGAAAGAACTGGCAACACTCACAGTCTAAACCTTTTTCAAGGTGCTATGTCAAAGCATGAACATTTGCCAGACGTACAGAGGGAAGATTTTCTAAATCTTGAAAAGCAAAACGTGTGTGAAAGATCAGTTTTGCCACAGCTGTGGGTATGCTTCTTAATAACAGGAATCAAAGACAAAGTGAAATGCTTGCCTTGGTCACTTGGGCTGACCTTTGGGCTGCTGGTTAAGTACACAGAACTGGACAGATTGTTTTTTTCTTGAAGAGGTGTGAAATTTTCCAGATGGGAACCAAAAGACCCAGCTTTGTTGTGGTAAGTTACAGAAAGGGGGGGGGAGGGAAGAGGGGGGGAGGTGACTTTTTTTGACCCACATGTTTACCTAGGACACATGCCAGAATGTTACTGCTGATGCTGGGTACTCAGAATTCCATTCTTAAGGCCACAGCAGGTGGCACGTGGATGTGAAAGCGGGGAGATATTTTGTGGTTCTGCAAAGCCATTCCTCCAACCAGCTCAAAGTATTTTGCAGAAATATTTCTTGTAACATAAAAGTTTATTAATATACTCCCAGCTGGCACCTTTCCCACTCAGTCTGCCAGGTCATGACTTCAGAGTGCAGAGGCAGAACCAAGTAAAGGCAAAAGAAGTTCATTATGCTTTACTGAAACCATGCTGTAGTAAAGAACTAAGGTTTATCCAGGAAATACTTTATTTATTGCTTCCTAATCGTAACTATTTCACTCAGGGGAAAGTGTTGGGGGCAGGCAATGACTCTACACTAGATGGGTTAGATTTGTTTCCTCCTTCGTGTCACACCTGGTTAGTTTTCTTCTCCAAGTGCAGGAAACACACCACTCAATCCAAGCTTCCTCTTACAGGTAAAAAAGCATACATATACAGTCTCATGCCAGAACACCAGCGGACAGTTTGCTCACAAGACTGCTACACATTTCTATTGGTAAAGTCTTACTGGTATTTGCTGGATTTCTCCTGTATTGGTGATGATCTGCTGCATGACTTGCATGGTCTGTCCAGTTCCACTCTGAGCCTGCTGGGTCTGTCCTTGCGGCTGGGCCTGCACTATCTGTACCTGCTGGCCTTCTCCAACCTGCATCGTCACGGGGGTGCTCTGCATTCAAAACAGGGATAAGGACCAAGCAAGGACTGAACACAGGTGAAACCGCCACAAGACACAGAGATTGTAATACAGAGACTGCTTCCTAGGCCCACTGTTACTTGTTAATGCTTAAATCACCACAAAGGGAACCCAGGACCTAGACGACCCTTAGTAATAAGGTATCTGAACACCTGGTTATGACCAGAAAACACATTTCTGTATTTTTCTAGACTGTTCTGAGCAGCGAGAGCAGCGTACTGCAATATGGTACAGGTGGGTGAGTTGAGCGTTTCACTGGCTCCACCGAAGTGCAAACCCCCCGAACGCTGCTCAGGCCTCACCTGCCCTTGCTGAGGCTGGGCGATGATGATCTGTCCCGGCTGGATGGTAGTTGTAGACGTGGTGGTCTGTTGTCCTTGCTGCTGCCCCTGAACCTGCACTGCAGCAGGCTGCTGAGCAAGCGTGAAATAATACTGTACAGGCTCAGCTGGGGTCACAGCCTGACGCACCTCTTCCTGCAGCACAGGTAAAAGACAGGTAAACGGGGAGGGAACAGATCAACATCCAAAAAGCCACCCCCCACCTCCCCCATAAGCACGCTCCCTGGGAAAGCATTTTCAATACTTTGCTCCTAACAGTTTACCTAAGTAAATCTGAAATGATAAATCAAAACAGGTTTCCTCATTTAGTCAGCTATACGGAAATCAAAAACATTTCCAATACCCTACGTATAATAACGTAGTCACCAATTTCGTTATGAGAAGCAAATGAATAAAATTACTGTAGTTGAAAACCACGCAACCCCTCATCAGTAAATTCCATCATCGCCTGTTATCTTAACACAAAGTGAATTGCAAATGCACCAGGAAGACTTACAAAGCCTCATCTGTCAACAAAACCCTCTTCTTAGCCTACGTGCCCAACACAAATCTCAACCTTGCTCTGATGTTAAACCCCTGGGAATAAGAGTCACGGACTTGATGCGCCTTTATTTATTTATTTAACTCCAGCTTTTCCAGAATTAGAACAACTTCATCTGGTACGGCGGCTTAACAGTCTGATTCTGCCGGTAGCAGGAATATCTCAACAGTGTGAAGAAACAAAAGGCTGCTTCACTGTCAGAAGCTGTAATACTGCTGGTTTGTTTTATCTAAGCATGTCTTTAGGAGAGAAAAACCCCTTATGATTAATGATATCTTAGGCAAAGAAGTAGATTTTCAGAGATTACGTTAAGTGGCAAGCCGTTAACACTCAAGAATCAAAATTCTTAAGCTCCCCAGAGGAGCAGCCGGATCTGGCACCTTATGGAAGATGCAGCTCACCAGATGTTCACTCCATGGCAGAAGGCGTAAACAATCCTCTCCCAGCCACCTCGAGTTCACAGCTGAGAGTGTAGGATGTTTACACGTGCTACAACATGGCAGATTCCCGCTTACACCAGTCTGCTCGACTCCCCTGCATTACCTGAGGCTTGCTCATGGATTGCCTTCAGCGCATCCAACTGAACAGGAGAAGACAAAGTCGCATCAAACAAGACCAATGTTGTCTAGATGGGTACCAGGCTAAGACCTAAGAGAGCACTTGTGCTCAGATGCCAGTCGCTCAGACTCACTATTGGGAAGTTTCTCGGTAGCCTACCAGAAAATTACTCCCCAAAGATTAAGCTGTTCACAGTTGGCTGTAATCAAGAAGCGACTTCTAAGCTTGGCTCTCAGAGCAAACATCAGCACCGTCCCACGGTACTGCAAACCACTGCAATCAAACACAATATTCCTACACGTGGTAGTTCACTGATTGTTCCTACCTGCTTCATCAAATACTTTGTGGGAAGGATTAATAACAAATTTTAAATATATATTCAACAGGACGTGTCTTCAGTTAACCATAAAACTGCACGCCGAGAAGAGCGGCGGCTGCTTCCGTAAAGCCCAGTCCTTAGAGATGTTACTTCTAGAGCATTCCAGTCCTCAATTCCTAGCTGAATCCTGAAACAATTAAGGCAACTGAGTACCGCTGTAGGTATCTATTCCAGGTTAAGTTGCATTTGCTACAGGCAAAAATGGCTTTAAATCCCAATCTGCTTGAACAAGGTTATAGCACGTTTGCCATCTTCTATTTTCAAGCCATAGTGTTAGTTACCAGAGAAACACAACAGTCACGGTTTCATTCCCAGCTCTTCCACGTAACCAAAACTAACTTGTCAAACAGTCTCTTCGGTGGCAGAGATAAAATACAGACTGTACCCCCAGCCAAAAAGTGCAGGCTGTCAGCCTACATGCAGCCACTTTTCAACACTGTTGAATCAAAGGAGTGTTTTCCACTCCGAAGTCCTAACCTATGTTCTCACCGGGCAGCTATTCCTCCGTTAAACTTCTCTTGCTGTAAGAGGTATTTCTAGTGATTCAGCAGTGTTCACAGGCAGGGGAGCTACTGGCGAGAGACGGGTCTCTGAAGCCTATTTCAACCCAAAACCCGTCAGGGTTTCACTGCTGATGCTGTGCAATCCACAAGACACTGCTCTGGTGTGAGGTATCATCAAGCCACGTTAACCCAGCAACCTGTATGCATCCATCACACTACTAAAATACTTCAGGCATTCATTTCCTTACGGAACTTGAATGTTTTCTGATCAGAACATTCTCACGTGAATCAAAGGGCTCCAGCAAGGGTAAGGGATGGACGATATTCTCCCTCCCAAACACAAAGTAGGTCTAAAAATAGCACTACAACATAGAATAAGTGAATGAGGCACCTGAAAGAAAGAGAGAACTGAATTTGCAATGCCAGAATTAACCTGTGTTACTTCAGGCTGCACCAACTCGCTTCATCTTATCAAGCTGAACAAACTCAAACGTGGGTTTTCCCTCCCCCAGTTCAGCAAAGCATCGAGAGCGGCTGCGCAGGTGGCGGCTTTGTCTTTTGATTTAATACTGAACTAATGATCTTTGGATAAATCATCTCTGCTGCACCGCTGCAGGGATAAAGCAGGGAACTCCGTGAAGGAATGGAAGGAGCTGTGCCACGCTCCCACTTGTGACGCTCACCGTATCTACAGAACACAGTTCCCAGCACACCTGTAATGAAACCTTGGGATGCTGCTAATTTTAACCATGGCTGACTGCAGCAGCAGGATGGACTCTCCTGCATATACCATGACACGTAAAGGTATTTTCTGCATTTACTAGAAAGTCATGCTGCTTCTGGAAATCAGAATGCGAGGTTAAACTCAACTCAGGACATCATCGGAAAGGATGAAGCGTGTATTTCTTCCTCTTGGCCATCATTTCAGTAGGACTTTAAGACAAAAAGTAGAATAGCAACCTCCAAAATCCAGGTCCACAATGGAATTGCCGGTCTCTACACTGAAAGCAGGTGTCTTTTCGCATGTTATTCAGATTTGTATTGGAATACATAAAAAACATGTCAAAAAAACCAACTTCCAAGTAAAACACTTGCCAGAAAGATGCTCTAAAGTATGCCAGCCTCTCCAGTAGCACTCACTAGAGAAGCTATTTTAAGGACCACCTTGGATTTTTTCAAAGGCTAACATGCTGCAAACCTTCACAAGTATCAGAAAACCAGTTGAAGGAATTCTTAGAAATTGTTATAAAATACTGAAATTTACTGTTCAGAGAAGAAATTGCTCCAGTTGAGTCCTGGGCAATGATTGCAGGAGTTGCTGAACAAGGTGCAGCACTATCCAAACGGAGCTGCTCCCTAGAAGAGGTGTACTGATGGTAGCCCAGCCACTTTATCTACCAGGCAACTTGTAACGAAGAGAGATCAGCAATTACTGAACTGGTGAACTTTTAGCAGCAAAACACCAACCTTTTGGGGTGAAGGAGATAGATTTGTCTACCAGGAGCTGGATCTGTTTCTTTGTGCGTTTGAAGAAGCAAGACTGAGCTTCAACCCCACCTCACTGCATTTTCAGCACCGTCTCAAACACGGAGGGAAACACGTGCTTTGTAAAACACGAGCCTGTTACCTTTCAAAGATCTTGGGCTCAGATGACCGCGGCAGCCTGCTGCTGTAAACATCCGACTGAAAGCTCCTTCTGACACCTTACAGCTTCCAGTCAAGGATGTTTACAGGAGCGATGACTGCCCCAGAGCGTGTGGGAGGTGGTACTTCTAACCAAAGAAGCCTGTTTCTCCCTTTACAAGTCAAAGGATGCAAGCTCAGCACACTTTTTAAAGTTAAATTTTTTAACATTGGCAACATTTGGTATCAGAGCTATTCAGTAATCGTTTTGTCACTTAAGGAAATCCCCAAGTCAGAATTTTGGAAGTCTCCACTCAAGCTCTATTTCCATCAAAAAAAATTTTAAGCACCTGAAAGCTACTGCAAATAAACATGCAAAAAAGAGAGGCACAAACCCCATGTTTAAATCCAACTCTGCATTGCTTTGTCAACTCTCTTCAGTTAGAGACTGAAGTCACACCGAGGGAAGGACAGACAATAAAGGCAATCGTTTTTGTGTCTCACCTGCCGCTTCGGAGGCTTCAGTTCATCTCTTGGGACAATATCGATAAGAAAGTCAAATTGATCAAACTTAGTAATTGCCATGGCAATGTCGTTCCTCTACAATGACAGAAAGAAAAAAAAAAAAAAAAAAATCATCAGCTTTAGAAGTCTGTTTTGTCACCGGATAAATAAGGTTAGGGCTTTTTAACTGAGCCAAGTGAGAGCCTCTTCTCCAGATCCCGGTGGCCAAGCCAGGTGGTAAGAACTATTTCAGTACCACCACCACCACCTCATGCTAAGGGAGGCCTCCAAGATGCACAATAAGGTGCTTATCAAACTTTTAGGCTTTCACAGTCATCTAGTCACCCACCAGTTAATTGGGCTCTCCACAACGGTACCGCTGTAATTCACTACAGAGGGCTCGTGACAACCACCATAAGCCTTTTAGCACATTAAAAGAGGGGAATTCTTCTAAAAGTAATTTTAAAATACCAAAGATATCTGAAAAGAAGCTTTGCAGAAAGACCAGGATGATTGCTCCATGCGTTGGTAGCTACATATGCAGAATCTATGAGTTGGGGATGGGATTAAAAAAAATATCTTATTCAGGGAAGGGGAATCCCAAGAGATACTGAGAACAAGCTTCAGCATGTGGAAGGGCACAATGGTTAACAGAAAGCATGAAGACTAAAACATATACTCAGCAAACTGGCCAAACATGTATCAGAAAAAGGGATGTGCAAGAGCCAACGGGCTTCTACGAAAAACTGGCAAGGTAAGTATCTTCTCAAAAGGGCTTATAACTTAACTTTTATACCTTGCCTGAAAAAGAAATCCAAGGAGTAGCATTAGGTCAAAGCATTGAAGACCTGAAGAAAGAGTTACTCAGCAATAATTCATCACTTAAATGTATTTGCTTAAGATTTGAAACAACCCCTAAGATTAAAAAAGCTGACTTTCTTAAAAAAAAAAAAAAAGGAAGGAAAATGTATTCAGTCATTTTAAAATTCTTGCAAGCCATCTTAAAAAGTAGGGCTAACTCAAGAAGCTATTTAAAGTCTCGTTCTCATTAGCTGAATATAAATTCATAAAGCATATATATATAAAAAGATTTGAGACAAGGATGCCCACGCTGCCTAATGAGTAGGTAAAATTTAGAAGTCTAGCAATCCCCTCATTTCAGGCTAGTTGACATTTCTAAACCTTACACTGTCTTGGCATTTAATTGCCAAACAACGATCACTTCGAAAGCACAAGAGAGGCGTTTCTTTTGTTCTGCAGGCAGCATGTATTATAGAAGTATCTTCACCAGGAAGAAAACTTCGACTGAACAGATGTATCTCATATTTCATTCTCCACGCTGAGAATTGGGTTCAATCCAATTTCCTCAGGAACACACTTCCATAACTCAGACCTCTCCACTCGAAATTTTCTTCCTAAATACTTGATAAGCAGAGACCGCGTTTCTCCAGCTGCACTGTCCATGCGGAGAGCAGCTGTTCCAGGATGGCAGCTGCTGTGGAAGGCAAGGCAGCCAGAAACAAAACCCGAGTCAATTCAAGGTCTTGTACATTAGGATGGGGATTCAAGTACGATTCTGAAATAAACAGATCCATCCAAGCTTGAAAACTGTTAGCAGGACATGCTCGAGTCAGCACTTGTACTTAGGAAGCACCTTGCTTATGGAATGTCTATCAGATACATCCTTCCCCCAGTACCTGCGTTAAAACCTGGGTAAAGCAAGTAGTATTAGCCCAGTTCAGTGGCGATTAAGTGGCTGGATGCCCATTCAACAGGACAGCTTTGGCCTGAAATCAGACGCGTCTCCTTGCCACTACAGCAATCTCTGCGCCGGGGTACAGGAGAGCTGACACGGTGCTAAATATCACAAGCTCTCACCTCTGATCTGAGGGCCCGAACTGATGGTTATTACAGTTTCAAGTAGTTCTGTTCAACGTGTAAGACTAAAAGTGAATGCCACTCGTCGTCATCGTGTCATGCGTCATCCCCCCCCACCAAAAAAGACCCTGAAGAGTTACAGTTTACTCTTGAACCACTAAAGAATGACTATTATTGCAGGCCTCTCAGTCCAGAAGAAACAGTAATCTGTTCTGGAGGAGGGTATTTCGGTTTTCATCTCTACACATTTATTGACACAAACCAACACCTACAAGCTTACGTTAGAACTGCTACCGAAAACCAAATCAGTTAGAAGTCCAACAGCTACAGCTATCTGGAGTTGTTAGAGCAGGTCACAATTAGCTGACAGCTGCAGTTTTGGTTTTGGGGGGGTTATTGTTGTTGTTAGTTTTTGGTTTGTTTTTTTTTTAAACGAATTAAGAAAAAAAGCATTTCAGTTGCATGGTTACAATGAGGAGCGTGCTTTGTACACAGGTTTGTAGTGATAAGCACAGGTACTAAAGTTGCTGTCTACAAAACATGCCTGATATTATGGAAACAAAGAGTTGGAAACAAGTTTATGAAGCAGCTGAAGGCTAGGTAGGAGCAGCTCCGTTACCTGCAGTGTCCTCCGCTTGTTATCTTCTGTGTGTATCCACGCTCGCAAAGTCAATTCCGTTATGAATATCTGAGCTGCCTTGGCGAACAACACGGGAGCTTCTGCGCTAATCATCTGGATTTAAATAAAAAAGAAATTAAGAACAATTGTAAAATGTTTACCATTAGTACTCTAACACTGTAAAGCGGTGGTCAGAGTAACTTTATGATGTTAGCCGAATCTGAATGGTTGCATTGTTTAACGGTGACGTTTGGGGAATTTCCACATCATATCGATGGCTCTGACAGTCCACAGAGCTACCAGCCTCAGGTTAAATGCAGTGTTGAAGAGTATTGGGCATCTACAGTTTGTCTGTTTCCTCCATGACCAGTCAGATGTCAACTCCGTATTGTGCTGGATTATGGTGGGCCAGCAAAAAAATGGCATTAGTGCCCACTCACCTAGAGGGCATCAGCCAGCAGCTTCTCCTGGCAGTGCCTGGGCACATGCGTAAACGATTCGGAAACCGAAGAGGGCAGGTTGAGGGCTCATTCTAAAGCCTGGCCCTTACGTTACAGTTATAACATTTATATAATTTGAAATGAACACTGAAATTGCAAAGGAAGTTTGGAGGCCTGAGTAGAGACTCCGCCTCACCAAATTCCTTCTCCTTAAAAAGTATCTAGTTCAAGGTTTACTCAAATTAAGCAGTTTCGTTATTAGCTGGCTTGGCATTAACGCTTACTCCCTAGTACAGTCTTCTTGTTGAATAATGTTGCAGGCAGGACAGCGACTTGCCCCTCACCCTGCCCTAAAAATCTCATCTTCCCCTTCATCATCAAAACTTTGGCACTCATCCGGTTCAGACACTGATCGGGGAGCTCAGAGGCCTGGGTTCATTCCCTCTCCAGGCTGAATGAATAGCTCCCTTGTATAGGAAGACAACACACACCTTTTCCAGGATCTCACTGAAATGTTAAAGGTTGTCCTAACAGAAGGATGGTGTCACATTGAGAAAAAAGCAGCAGCAAGCGCAAACCATTCTCTTTTCTCTTAGGAGTTAAGCGTCTGACAGCTTTCCAGCTTAAAACCAGGGAGGACTGGAGCAGCGCAAGAGTCAAACCCTGCAGGTGATTCCCTTCTCCTTCCTTTCATGTCAGTAAGCGCTCATCAGTCAATTCACGTGTTATCGTCAGTCGCACGTCACGGGTTCAGCTCAAATACTGGTATTGAGCCCGTGTTATCCACCTAAACTGTGACTTATTTTTTCCATAAAACTTCAAACAGCGTAGCACACGTTCAAGCGATATCACTCTTCATACTAAACTCTCTACAGCTTTGTAAAAGGAAGAGTTGAGAGAAACAAGGAGGAAACATGAGAACCAGTGAAGCACTAGAAAAACCAGGGAATATCCAGACTTGTACAGGGGACCAGTATTTACCAGAAGAAAGCAAAACTGCAAAGAGTCTTCAGTAAAGATCCTAAATGATTTTGCTTTCCCAGCTCAGTTTAATTGTACCAGGCCAACTCATACTGCATTCAAGGCAGCTGTTAAAATGTGCTTTAAAAATAACAATAAACAATGATAACAAGAAGTAATGAATTGCAAGGAATTATAGCTACAATATCCATCAAAAGGATCATAAATACTTAAGAAAAACCCCATGAGCGTACCTTCACATCTTCATCTAATTTCATTATCTTCTTAATACGAGCCAGAGGGAGTTCTTGAACTCTGAAGTCTTTCTGCAGAGAGATTCACATTTGAGAGACTCTTTACTGATACGTAACTGAAGCCAAAGGTTAAGATAAGAAATGTTAAAACAAGCCCATATTGTCTAGAACTAAATTGGGTAAAATCAGATTTATAAAAATAACTTATTTTCTTTGAGGTATGGCAGCTTCTCCTCAGGCCCGAGAATTCTCATCAGCTGATATGATTCTACTCAAGTCTTCCATCAGACACTTGTATCTCGTATTTCACCTCAAAGCTGAAGTCATTCTGCAGAACAGAATGTTTCTAATGCTACACATCTCTGCATCTATTTATATTTGGAGCAACTAATTCAATTAGGCGTCTCGGGACCCAGAAACCACTGGAATCTACAAAAAGTCACAACAGAAAGTGAAGGCAAACAAGAGCTACGTGGGGCTGCGGGATGAAACCTTCTTTGCTTTATTTGTACTTCCCTGTTGCCCGATACCAATTTTGGTGGTAAAAACCTTGCAAGAATCTTGTTAAAAAAAAAATAAAAAAAATTTCTATTCCTGTTTTTAGGATTTCTCGCTATTTTCCAGCAAAGAAAGTGCTGACTCGAAGTGGTGTAATGATGGTTTAGGAGACCAAGAGCAAGCGCTGTCATCATACTGACTCATCCTGCTCGGCTCGGCCGCTCGCACGGGCCCGGCGCGAGGAGCGGCAGCAGAGACGCCACCGAGCCACCGCCTGCCCGAGCCGAGGGACTGACGTGTCCCTTGGGGAGATCCCCTCCAGAGAGAGCTCCCGGGGTTAGGGAGACTGCTGAGCTTCACTGCGAACAGTGGTCTCCCTCCTCTGAAATAGAAAGAGGAATTTAAAAAAATTAAATAAATAAATCCACAGTGTGTTGCTACCAGGAGCCTCTTAAAAAGGGAGAAAGGCTGAGGCTACGAACCGTCGCATCAGGAATGCAGAATCCCTATCCACAAGGGGCTCCTAAAAAAAAAAAAAAAAAAATCTTCCCTTCTTAACAAAAATGTCAGAGAAAATAAAAGGAAACTAATTTCTCCAGGGAAGAAGGCACTGCACGATGTGTTAGTGAAACAAAAGAGGGGAAAAAATGCTGAAAATGCTGTTTTCTACTGAAGTAAAATATGGAGGTTGTGCGTGGTCCAGCCAGCACTCCAGCAAGGGGCATTTTATTTAATTTAGATATACAAATTTTATGTATATTTATATACTTTTTTTATATGCCTACATATTAAAAAAAGCATTCTGTGCCCTCATTCTGCAGAGAGACGCGAACGAGGTGCTCCTAGTAACATGCTACAAATCAGAACTAATTTAGGGTATGGGGGTGTCCTTGCAGGGAGTGCCGAGGGCTGGGAGCATCCCACTGGTGAACGTGGCATTTTGGGAGGATTTAGGGCAACGGGAGAAGGGGGCAGCCAGGGCTGGGACCTGTGCTTGAGCACACAATGTGCTCAGGGTGGCACTTCGACCAGTAACCGCCACACAAACAAGTTACTGGGTTGCTAGGCTTAACAAAAATATCCCAAAGGTTTGCTTTTTGCTTTTTTTTTTTTTTTTTTAATTCTTTTTTAAAAGCTCGTTCCTTGTTAAAGAGCCTCGTGAGCTTTGAGCAAGCCTCAAAGAAAGAGGAGGACAAAATTTCTAATTTGTGAAACTCTTAACAGTCCTAAGTTATTAACTTCTATCCACAGCAGAACTGCAAGTAGACAGGCATAGTTACAACACTGTTAAAATCTTTAGCGAATAGAGACAGTGGGAGAAATCAGAAACAAATTAAGCTCCTTTATTCCTTTAAGGCAGACAGGCAAACGTCACATAAATCAAAATTAATACCCAAGTACCATGGTGAAGGGAAGCATGACCACTACTGGCTACAACCCAGCAGAACAAACTTTAGACACCAATTCTTCCTCTTTTCTTTTTTCCAAATTAGGTCTCAATCTTTTCACAGGCCTCTTCTAACTCGCTGTAGAGCTGAAATGCAAGTTTCAGCCTCATCCTGTTTCCTATTTCTCCAGACTGGGCTACAGTCCTTTCTGTTACATGGGGCAGACAACAGGGAGCTCTGCTTTGTTTTTCTAAAGCAGCTCCCTTGTTTTTTTTCTCCTCTGAATTTTAGCTACTGGTGGCACATGGCAAACACACAAACCCAGGCAGAGATAGCCCCGAAAAGCAGGCAACCAAAGCAGGCTTTCCATCAGCCAGCTGCTCTGACCTCTGCTATGCAGTACATGCAGATGAGCTTGAAGTTTACTTACGTCCACATCCATGGGAGCACTTTCAGTAAGATGCACAATAAATTTCAGGATTTGTTCGCGCAGAGGACCACTGCATAGGAATGTTTTGCAGCAATGCCTTTCCCTTTCCAACTCCCCTTTGCTGTCCTCAGTTAAATTGTCAATGACTTGCTAGTTTGCAATGCAATAAGTAGATTCATACGACAGTTAAAAATTAAGCTGCCCATACTTGATAAGCTGCAGAATAAACCCCTTTCATGTGGAGATGAAGACAAACTACAGCTCTTGAACACAAGAATTCACTGCACTGAAAGAGGAAAGTAATTAATTCTGGTTATGCATACAAATTTCTACATCTGTTTCTTTAATCAACTATCTGCACACAGGCTGAGAAAGCAGCTTATCTTCAGACTACGGGATTGGGGTTTTCACTTTGAACAGCCCGTCTTTGACTGGAGTTCTTTTGTTTTCAGTTACATTAAAAGCACAGGAGTGTGCTTTCAGGACCACTGTATCACAGTAATCTATCAATCTCTCTTGAAAAGTCATTTTTATTATATGCCCTTGTTCTCAGGCACATCTCTTTTAGGGATGGAAAAAAAACCCAACCACCCCAGCTACTTAGTCCAATTCTAATTCTCAGTGTATGCGTGATTTTTTTAATGAAATGTCTTTCAATTAATAAAGCATGTGATAACGATGCACTTGGCATTCAAGTGAATTTCAAAACTTCAGGGTTGTCAAAGGAGCCAGTTCTGAAAGAGGGCATAATAGTTCTGTACAAAAGTCTAAACCCCAAAATTCATTCACAAAATTGTAACTGCCTGCCAACAGCCAAGTGTTTGAATTTATGAAGGGGGGGAAGACCAAGAGTGGCATTTGGAACAGTAGCATCTCCTGGTGTGTGCTGGTGTGGCCTGTCCTTTGGCACGGAGAAGGGTTCCCTCGCATGCTGGTCACACATTTTACGTTACAGAATTTGAACAGTAGTTAAACAGTCCATGAAGTACAATGCAAGGTACATTCTCAAACCCCTCAATCTTCCATTAGCTAAAACAGCTTATGGCAGCCTCACTTTTATCTGTAGCTATTTTAAAATCAGTTCCCTTTCCCCTCCAAACAGAAGGTAATTCCGCTGCAGTTCTCTAGAAAGCAGCCACGGTCATCATTCAGCCTGTTAGAAGAACCTTTGAATCACCTCTGTCTTCTTGTTTAGTCGACGAAGAGCTGAAGGTATGACTGTTACATCTCATTACGCTACGAATCAGCTGCGTTCCACTTTTACTTCCACTTCTGACAGTTGTAGCCAACAGTCAAAAGCTGGGCTGCGTGATTATTTATCAGCTCTCTAGGCCACCTTGCAGCCTGTAAATAGTCAATTCTAGAAGATCCCATAAGCAGCAGGAACGCGTTCAAGCTGAGGTTTATCTTGCTACCAGACATTAGCAGGCATTTTGCACTGTCAGTTCTTCGGAACTAACACAACCGATAAGGACACTCACCACGGTGAGATTGCGGATCTCCTCCATGACTCGTGGCCAGAAGGACTGGAGGCTTTGCTGGGCATCGCTGTTGCTAGCTGTGCCGAAGCCACCATCCGTGGACATTCTGGCAGCTGGGAGAAACAAAACCAAGTGTTAGCAAGGAGGGAGGGAGGGAGGCAGGCAGGCAGGAGTCAAAAGCTCCTGAGATTCCCTCTGAGCCCCAGGAATTCAGGAAGGGGCCAGCCCGGCTAATCGCTCTGGAAAACTGTCAGAAGTAAGATATGCCAGTCCAGGCCCCACGGCAACAATGCAGAGATACTCACAGCCTCTGGAAGTGGTTTTCTGAATTGTATTTATTTTTCCAAAGATTGAAAAAGAACATTAAAAAAAAAAAATAATTGAAAGCAAAAATAGTCTCCTTATTCCCCTGTTAGAGCTCTGCCTTTTCACAAGGAGTTACAAAACGTAACTGATGACCGGTCACAGCTCACACTCCACTGTGTGCCTATTATAAAATCATTTTTTCTCTTGCTTGTTACAGCCAACAACAGCGTGGGATGTGGCAGTAAACCCCCCTCAAGTTGAAACCAGGACATCAATGTCAGCCTGATATTATTTCTAAAAAGTGTAATGAAACCGTTGCTTCTGTGCCTATTTGAAAGGTGTCACTTTTTGTGGCTTTACACTATTTTTATAATACCTCTTCTCCTTGGGTATAATCAACAGGAGAAATTAACAGTCTGCATAATGCAGAATGTCAAAAGCACAAAGTGAGATTTAAAATTCAAATCTTTTAATTGAAACAATTTTTAAAAAGCCCGATGCCTGTCACTTAGTATTCAGCAACTGCAGGATGTTAAGCAAGCCTGGCATTCATTAAGACTTGTATCTTTGCAAACGGTTTTATTTACAGTACGTTATCCGTAGTCATCAGGAACTTCTAAGGAGGAAATAAAGGGATGATAGCTGGGGTCAGACATTCCCATACAGCCATCCTGAGCTGCAGTGAAGAACGGTGGTGTGCGTCCTGACCAACGATCAACCTCGTCCTCGGGTGACCGAGACGTGCCAGCCCGCGTGCCACCGTCCAGGCACATTTCACGTTCCAGCTGACACAGTTCTTTGCTCCCCACAAACTCCTAGATCAAGTCGTCCCTTTTTGGCAAGCAACTCTGAAGACAGCTCTAGTTAATATTAAAATGAAGTCAGATGCACAAGTTGGGAATCCCTCGGAACACCAAGACCACCCTTGCTGGCTTCCTCTCTGCCACAGGAGCACGTGGCTCCGGCCGGATTCCCAACAGGGATCGCAGCCTGGGAGGACAAGGGAGACGAGCCAAAAGCACACGCTGGACCTGCTGAGACACAACCTGGCAGGACGGGACTCGGTGCTTCCCATGGGCTGAAAGCATCTTGGTGAATGCCAGAAGAGTCACCGCTCACTCCTCAAGCGAGCGAAGCAGCGGAAGCCAGCGAGTTACTGACGTTAAACGCTCCCGGGGTCACCCGGAGCAGCTTTGAAGTTTCCATGAATGACACGCACACACCATGCACAAACAATCAGTCTCTGTGTCTCAACTTACAGCAAGAGAGAAAGGGTGTTACATTTTCTATAGGGAAAGTTCTCAAGATACTCAACAGCTATTTGTGCGTCGCCATGTCATGGAAAAAGACACAAGGGTAGATTTAGCTCTGCCACAGCCAGGCGCAATCCCTGTTTGCTTTGGATCCGTTGTGTAAAGGTTTATTTTGGTCCCTCCTCAAGCTGAGGGGAGGCACAGTAACACTGTACACCACACACCGCAACGCCGGCGGGAGGCAGCGGCCGACTGCCAGCACTTTCAAAATCTACTATTCCAAAGCAACGACGACCCATAAAAAAAACCAACAACTTACTAACAGATCAAAGAGATGCAAGGCAGAGAATTAGTTTGTTACCTCCTGCAGCCTACACGTTCCAAGGCAGACTCGGTGAACAGCCGTATTTTTCTTTCATCAACCTGAGAAGGGGACACAGGAGGCGTGGGAAGAGCCGAAAGGGATTTTGAGAGGGGGTGGCAAAGAGGAGGTCAGAAGATCGTATTTTCAGTCTCGAAGCAAGAGTTCAAGACAGGAAGATCTCCACGTAAGGAACCTATGGAAAGAAGCGACTGGCGAGTTACCTGATGACTCTTCAGCAACTACCTGCATTAAATACCATCCACCTACAAACTGAGATATTCCAAGTATTTCTAAAAAAAGAGAGAGAGATAAATATTCTAATGAGAGTCTTAAAATGGCATTTGATTCCCCCCGCCCTTGATCCGCATTGTCAAACGTAGACAAAAAATAGTTTGGGCACATAAATAAAAGCTAATCCTTGAAATCTGCTCTGTACTGGCAATATTTCAACACTAAATGGGGTCTTTTCTGCAACTGGAGATGCAATTCATCTTGAAGACAAGCCAAATCACTTTTCAAGGCCTTATTTAAAAATACAAATTACTTGCATTCAACCCACTTAAGTGCTGTACTAGAATATAATGCTCTACGTAACCCTAAGAAACAACAGGTAGAAAAAAAAAAAAGGAAAAAACTAAAGGAGCAAAAAGGAAAAAAATTCCACCACCGCTTTACCCCCTACCGCACGCAAAAAGCAGATTTCTTGCATTAAATATATGCCTCCATGGTATTCATCCAAATTTCAGGAAGAGCTAGAAGTGGTTTACTCCAGTCCTCTATAATTTCAAGAGTCCTGTTGATTAAGAGAAAAAAGAAATCCTATCTTGAAGGTAAACATCAGACTGATTTCAGAACGCAAAATGAACAGCCTGACGCTCGACCCAAGGGACTGCTTAGGGCAATTGTTAGGAAACTGAGTAAGAATATAAAGTATAAGTGTTGCCATAAGCGGCTTTTCTGAAAAACTTCCATAATGAAATCACTCTAAAGTCCAAAATAAAAGCCTAAGCAGGTTAAAACTGCTCAGAACATCACTACAGTAATTTCTTCCCATTAAAATATAGACAGATAAGTGGCGCTGAAGGTGCCTGTAAGCGTTAGAGGAGGATTGTAAGGAAAAGAGAAAAACCCAAACTGTCACGCAAACCTACAGCGCTGGCTCTGCGCGGCAAACTTTACTCATGAAACCATTCCTGCGCAATTAGGTAAGTCCCGTCACCCAGGGGGAAGCTGTGTTCTCTTCACTTAAGAATGCCTCATAGCGGGAGTAGCGCCAACAAAAAAAAACCCCAAACATACCAAAGCGCACAACGGAAGCAAAGTCCACCAAAGCTAACAGGGAGGCAGTTCCTCTGATTTCACAGCACCAGTGTCGAAACCTGTTTGGCTTTTTTGAACCTGTTTGGCTTTTTTGAGATGCAGTTTGCAGGGAAATTTTAGAGCTTCATTATACTTCACCTTTCCTCCTCTAAGGATTTCCTCCATAAGCCGGTGCAGAAGGGCAGAGGTGCTCTGAAGATCCCCGTGCTCCCCACGTTGCGCTCACAACGCAGGGTACGGTCTCTCAGAAGATTTAAGAGAACTGGCTACTCCAGCACCAGCCTGTTGCCGAATAATAGAAGTTATAAGTCCATCTCCTGAGTCACCTGGTTGCCACGAAGGGTAACCGCAACCAGGGAGAACTTGCCGATTCCAGCAACGCTGCGTCTCCATACAGAAGCTGGGCAAGTACTTTGCAAGCTCGACACGCTTCTGCTCCGCACACCACTCACTTAACGAAAGCCGTCATCTCACCGGCGCGCCTGATGCTGCATCAAAGCAAACAGGGGTGCTACGCTGACCTCGGATTAGCTAAGCTACCGGCGCGAGTCCCGGGAGCCTGCAACCTAAAAAGCAGGCTACGCAGAGATGCTCTTCAGGGATGCTCTTGCAGAAGAATCTAGATGAGGAGGTTCATGCACACAAACAGCACTAACCCACAACAGAGACACATTACCGAATTCGATAGAAGCAGGCAAGCAAACTACCCCTGCCCAAACCCACAAACAGCAAGAAGTAAGGGTGTGAGAAGAACAGAGGCTGGGCTACACCTGCTTCACAGCAGCCAATCCAGTCCCCACAGCCTGGAATACAGCTCCACGAGGGCAAATGTTTTGCTTCTAGACTAAGGGAAAAAGAAACCGAAGGCCAAAGAGCTCAGGTCCTACGCACAAAATGTCTGGAGGTGATTCCAGAGCAGATTGGCAGGCACATCTCGAGAGCTGCGACATCAACACTTCGCCATTAGAGCTTTTCCGCTCACCGGAGCGGAACACCTTTTACAAACATTAAACTTAAAAAATCCTGTGGCAGCTGACAAACGCTTAAGAGCTTCACTTCATAGGAGCACAGAACCAGCACGAAGACACATCTAGTGTCTATGGTCGGGGCTTTTTTTTTTTTTTTTTAAAAACAGATGCTTGTTTGTGCTCTTTCTTTAATGCCATGGGAAGGGGGAAGCAGTCAAATGAAGCTGTCTCACCCTGGATGCCTACAATCTGCACACTTGAGCAAGACCTTGCTATTGAAAACACGATCTACAGTATAATCATGAATAAATCCAAGATCTCTGATCTTGCAGTTCCACCCAGAGTAGGTACCCAGAGCTCTTCAGCTGGAAAGCCAAGGGCCAGGAACAGCCCAGCAGCTGCCAGCCACAGCCACAGGACATTCCCAGGCATTGCTGGTGCCCTCGCCAAGCGAGCTTGGGAACGGGAAGCGGAGGACAACCTCCGACAACCAGCGAGGGTCATGTCACGGCTTCCGACGTGCCTACTTTTGAGTTACTCCCAAGCTGGCCTTGACTAAGAAGTCAACCAAAGTCAGGTGGGTGGAGAGCAGATCCAAGTGAAATTTATCCAAATATCTGACGGGATATGCAAATGGCAAATGCCAGAGGGAAGTGCTGAAAAGCCTTGAGGCTCTCGGTGAAGGAGGCACTAATTCAGCAATATCATCAAGTACCACAGACCCTGCTGATGGCAGAAATGCCAGGTTCTTTGCCTATTGTACAGTCACATTCCCATGACCTGGGTTATGGGAAAGAACCTGCTTTACGCAGCATTGTATTACATGGCAGAAGAAGCACATTCCATCCAAACCTCTTAAAAAGACAGCTAAATCTGAAGTAGGATGGAGGCTAGCTCAGGCAATCGTTTTGCCTCAACATCCTTAGATTATAGCTACAAATAAAGACAATACACAAACGTTTCTGAAAACTGCCACTGCAAACCAAATTCCCCCTGCCAGATTCTATCACCATACAAATACAGATTTAACACCTCCACATCGACAATGTTTAGGAGACCCCCACACCCCCAACCTCCCCCCCAACTCTTCTAAAGATGCTGTTGGTTTTACAACATCCATTATCGCAGGATCCCAGGCTGCCAGGGGTTGGCAGGGCCCTCGGGAGCTCCCCCAGTGCCACCCCCCTGCCCAAGCAGGCTCACCCAGAGCAGGGGGCACAGGACAGCGTCCAGGTGGGGGTTGAAGATCTCCAGAGAAGGAGACTCCACAGCCCCCCTGGGCAGCCTGGGCCAGGGCTCGGGCACCCTCAAAGTCAACAAGTTCTTCCTTATATTCCACTGGAACCTCTTGTGCTCCAGTTTGTGCCCATTGCCCCTTGTCCTGGCGCTGGGCACCACTGGGAAGAGTCCGGCTCCGTCCTCGTGACCCCCACCCTTGAGATATTTGTATGTCCCACAAAACTCGCATGTTAATTATTCAGAAGTAGTGTTATAGAAAAGGAGAATACAAGCAATGCAGGTTGAATTTTTTTTTTTTTTTTTTTTTTTTTTAAATATACCGTCTTTACTAGCAAAGAATAAAACCCAATGCTGCAGCACCTAGCAAAAACTCTGGAAGTCTGAAAAATTAAAAATAGATCGACAGAGCTGAAAAGTGACTATTTAGAATAAATACTAATCCCAGCGTCCTGTGATACTTCCAGTCTATGCACTAACTCCCAGAACTGTAGCATTCTGTTTTGGGAGCCTGTCCTTTGATTTAAAAGTAAAATGTGCAGGGCCACAGTTGCATATCTAAAGAATGAGCTCTGTGTAGCAATAAGCGCCAGACACCTGATCCTGCCAGAATCAGAAGGAACAATCTAGCAACCAAGAACTAGTTTCACAAGAAGAACAAACATGGTTTTATATGAATTTAGTTAGTAACACATTTCCGAGTCTCCGATGCACGAGAGAAAGCCCCATACCTGCACCCTTTGCGAGATGCTGCTCTCATTATGTCAATTAGAGCAATTTGCTGTACTGTCTTGAGGGAGCAGCAGGACATCAAATGCAGAATATACACCAAGCCTGAAGTGGGCTGCGGCTGCAATCTTTGGCCTCGGCAGCAATCGCAATGGTTGAAGCCGTACTGAAAGGTTGTCTCTGTGCTGCAGACCAACAGCGTCTGTTTTGCCTGACAGTACGCCCTATGCCATCTTATTTTAAACCAAACCTTTGAGAAGTCACGTTAATGGTCTAACGTTGCTTCCACAGAGGTGTCATGCCTTGATTCACTGTACATTTTCTATGTTTCAAGATTTACTCAAGTCAACACAGATATTCTCACCCGAGTCGCCTTTCATGAAATAAGATCAAATTTATTTCAATTACAGGTCCAAACTACACGTTTGCTAGGCAAAGGCCAAGCAGCACAAGGGCACAGCACAGCTGGAAATACAAAGGTGCCAGAACCACAGCCAATTACTTTTGCTTGCTTTGGGGGGGTGGCAGTGGTGGCGTAAAAATAGGTCTTAACTGATTTTGAGATCAATGGTTTCCTCTTCTACCTTAATATTCAGGCCTTGCCTGCTCAAGTATGTAAAATTTTTAAACCAATAATGCAATGCGGGAACTTGAGTCATTTTGGCAGTAGAGCTGGCACTGCAAACAGACAAGTATTTCTTCCAAACCAGTGCCACGGACGTTGTGTTGTACCCGCGGTTCATCACAGCTCCAGCTTTGATCAGGACAGCAGTAAGACCTATTCAGATGTCCCAAGGGAACTCACCTGGCTTCTGACACAGCAACGAGAGCACGTGAAGAAGGTCTCCACGTGGCCACCAGGAACAGAATCTTAGATGGGCGCACAACTAGCGTGCCATGCTCTACAGAAGGTTTCCTAGCTATGGAACGAGGCACCCCAGTTACAAGTCCCATCAAAACTGTAGGCAAACCCCGTCTCCACAGCACATTCCTGACCCCATGATGAATCAGTAGTTGCCACCAGTGGCAAAAGCTGAACAAACCATGTTTGAAATAATGCTATAGAGGTCCCAAAGGGACCGTGGCAGACAGAAGAACCACTAAGAAGATTTCTGCCTGGCCCTAGCGAAGCAAAAGGGAAGACACAAGCCATAGCACACAAGGATCTGGGGTTACGACACACAAGCCTTTGGTTCTTGATGTTTTGAACAATTCCATGAGAAAAAACAGTCAGTGGGAACAGGGCTTGGGAAGAGCCAGGCTGGCATGTGCTGCCATCGCTACACGTGCCAAACGCCGTCCGGAAGGAGTCACTTCAACGTATGCATCCCATTGAGACTCACTTCCAGCCTTGGTCTGTCAACAAGACAGCACAGAAGACTTTGCCTATAAAACATTACCCCAACAAGCACCAGGGAAGGAGGGGGAACACCGCATTAAGAGATTTATACAATGTTTTTTTGGACACTAGATCAGCTTTGAACAAAACCCAATACTCATAATACAAAGGAAACGTCAACACTTTAAAGATGAAACATAATTGACTACATAATCCACAGCATTACATACACAACACAATTATTTCAGCACATCACAGCTGTAAAGATGCTGTTATTAAAGCATAAAAACTTCTATCATTATGTACAAGCAACAAATTATGAATGAAGTTATAGCTAAACTACAGGCCACGATCAGAAGTCTTAGACTTTAAGTTTAATACTCAAGTTATTTAGCCAAAAGATATGGGAACTCTCCTCCACTTCTATAAAACAGCGCTATAAAAATCGAAGGCAATGGTAATGAACACAAACTTAGAGAAGTCTGAAGTTCTGCTCTTGATAAAAACCTAACCTTTCACCTTTTAAAAAACAATTTCAAGAGGCTTTCAGTAAAACCAACATAATTCAAAACACAAGTGCTTCCTTCCAATGTGCTATTATAAGAAACTTTTGCAATTCCTCAGTTTTATTTTTATCCATTCCCTCTTGCGGTATTACATACATGCAATCCTCCAAGCATATAGCTGACACCATAAGTGGCTGATTTCAGCTGATGGGAGAGTTGTTCTAGGCTGTTGGATAAGGTATGTATTTGCAGATTTCTATTGTTTGATAAAAGTAAAAAAATTTAACGTAATAGTCAGGCTAGTTAAACGCCACACTAAATTACCACGGAGGATATTGAGTACTTACTGCTAAAGGTTAAGAGAACGCTACAAAAGTGCGTTTAAGTTGAGTCCATCTTGCCTTAGAGCAGAAAAAATAAACAAGATGACCTCTTCAGGTGCTTCCTACCTCTTTTTTCTATGAATATTTAGCAGTAGATTATTCTGTCTTCAAAGCACTGTTTGAACATTAGCTCCCTAATTCCTCTAATGCATTACTTCTGTTTTCATTCACGCGAGGCAGAGCGTTTGATTTAAGCCCAAATCAGCTGCAAAGTCAGAGAGAGGGATCTGGATTACCGCTTCCAACAACAGACAACTCGTTAAACCAGCAAAGTTTGGTTTCAGCAGCTAGCAGGGCCAAATCTGCTTTGCACCACTCCCATTGCTGATCTGCTGCTCAGACCATTGCAATCCATGTTTTGCTGGATCACACACACAGGCATGCCTCCTCCTCTCCCCCTCTCCACCCCAGCACCTACGGCAGGAATTCTGCTCCTCCCTTCTCCCATCCCTGGACACTCAGCAGCTGGGTTTCGGCACGCTGGGGTAAGAGCTGCCTCTCCACTACCCACTCAGCAG